GCAAAACAAACTGACTGAAACAAATAGAAAGACATACAAAAAGACACAAGTGTAAACACACATGCAAAGAAAGTGAGAGACCAAGCACAAGAGAGAGTGAGAGAGAGAATGGGATACTGCTTGAGCATAGATTTAAGTCAACAGAAAGTCTTTATTAGCCAGCTGCCAGCTACATGGGATGTTCGGGATGCCAGTACAGTAACTAGTCTTCCTCAGGATGAGCTTTTAAGCACAAAAAAACAAATTCTGGATTGACACACTTCAGTTAAAGAGAAGAGATACTGAGAAATGGCAGTACAGAAGCTGAAGTGTTAGTATATTTTGAGCAAGGGTTGTACATTTTTGAGATATTCCCAAAATTTCATTTCTGGTCTCTGTGATCTCAGTGGAACCTTCAGAAATGTAGGATAGCCCCAGAGAAGACTGCTGGGACATGGATTTAAGTCAACAGAAAGTGTGTAGAGGCAGGCTGACAATTACAGTGGCTGTTAGGGAACCCAGTGTACCATGGGGGCTCTTCTGGGGTAAACTTTTAAGCACAGATGCTGTATTTTGATTGCCAGAATTCTGTTAACAAGACAAGCTAGCCAGAAGAAGAACTATGGAAGTCAAACAGCAGAGGTAGAGCAATTAGAGTTTTTCCATCACAATGGATGTTGATGAATTAGGAACTTGTTTTAGTTCTGGTAGTTGGTGCTGTGTAGGTGATTGATTATGCAGTCTGAATGGTACTACCACCATGGAATCAGAAATGTTCTGACCACTTAAGCATGTGTGCATGGCCAACTACTCCTGTGTTTCCAAACAGAAATCAGACTCCTCATAGAGAGGTGACAGACCAGGTTCAGATGTCAGATTCCTCCAAGCAGTAGGCAGAGACTGATCAGAGGGAGACTTGAGGACCTAGAATGCAGGTTGTGCATTCCCAGAGTTCATGGCCCCCACGCTCTTTTATCTGACTTGTTCTGAGAATTCTGGCATGTCAAGGTCTTGTCTCTGGAACCTCAGTGTAACCTGCCAAACTATTGTGGGGCAGCTTGAGAACCCCAGAGGTTGGAGATACTTTAAAAGCCAAAAGAGCCCATACAGATGTGCAGTCAACTCTAAGGGATCACAGATGCACACCCAGAAACTATTATACCTAGAAAAACTTTGAAAACCCTAGATGGAAAAATTAAGATATTCCAAAATAAAGCCAAATTTAAATAATATTTATGTACAAATATAGCCCTACAGAGAGTGGTTGAAGTAAAAATCACTACCACCATGAACAATACAGAAAATAAATATTTTTAGAACATTAAAGCAAAAGTAGGGAAATACATACACAAAAACACCACCACCACTACCAATACAATAACAACAAAATATTAGGAATCAATCATCCTTGGTCATTGATAGCTCTCATTATCAGTGGTCTTGATTTGTAAAACTGTAAAATAACTCTGAGGCCTCTCAGTGCTTTCCCCCCTCCCCTGGGAACCAGTTATCTAACAATTACCCACACACGTACTGAAATGTTGGGAACTTTCCATCTCCCTGATTCCTTGTGAATGTTCTCCAGATAGAACTCAGTTATTGAAATTGGGGCAAGATAACCCTTAAGATGTTGACTCAGTCCCTGGGAGGGAATCACAGTAACCCTCAAATGTTTCCTCTTACCTCACCTGATCTGGCAACTGCCCTCTATTCCTGGCTTGGACTAATTATTGTTAATAGCCCTTTGAATAAGCCAATCCCAATAGTTGGAAAACAACCCCTGAGCCCCCCCTTGTTTCTATGGCTTTTTGCTTTAAAAGTAGCCTGTACCAGCTATTCAGTGTCTTTTGGCTTCTCGAATGCTGAAAGACCCTGTTGCGACAGAATTAAAAATTCTCATGCTTTTACATCAACTGTGGTGTGAGGGTGGTCTCTTGCGGTGACTCCTGATAGTTGGACTTCAGGGTCCAACAGATTCCCCAGTGAGAAGTCACAGACTAATAAAAGTGCATAATAAAGCAGGTTCCATCCTTTAGCTGCAGCCAGAAACCCACCTTAGAAAAATGGGTAGAGGTTGCTTCACAGTAAAGCCTTAGAAATAGACATTCCAAGCAAATGAACCTAGGAATATAGGTGTACTCACTTTTATAGCTAACAATAGACCAACTATAACCTAATCAGAAGTAAGTAAAGACACTACATACTCAAAGCAAAAGGGATCAAAGATAAACAAAATAGGAAACAATAGGTTTCTCATAGTAAAAGGAAATCAAGATGAGATATGTATTTTTTTTTCTTTTTGGTTTTTCGAGACAGGGTTCCTCTGTAATTTTGGAGCCTATCCTGGAACTAGCTCTTGTAGACCAGGCTGGCCTCAAACTCAGAGATTCATGCACCTCTGCCTCCCGAGTGCTGGGATTAAAGGCATGCACCACCACTGCCCGGTGAGATATGTATTTTAAACAGACAGAAAAAACCTAGTAAAATAGCATAATCACTAAAAGTCTTCCCACCAAAAAAGCCCAGGACCAGACACTTTTGGCATATTGACTTACCTGCTTTTCAAAGAAAAGTTAAAGCACATAGTCCTTCAATTATTCCAGAACATAGAAACAAAGGATCATTACAAAATTTATTTTATGAGTTCAAAATTACAATGATAGCTAAATCACAGACAAAAATATTATGAACACTGATGCAAAAATACTCATTATGTAATTACAAACTGAATGCCATAATATTCTATGATTTTTATCATGACGAACTATGCTTTGTCCCAGGTATGTAGAGATGGTTCAATGTACAGAATTCAAAAAGTATAATTGACCATATAAGGATGGTTGTCTTTACTCTCCTTCAGTAGAAATACACAACCCATCTTGGCTCTTTACTTAGAGCTGTGAAATGTGTTTTCATTCCTGGTGCATCTACACTTTTTGTCATCTGCCTGGAGAAGGCTGTTGCAGTCTCCCAAGGTCTTTAATCTTTGGACAATGCAGCGCCAAGATACCTAAAGGATTTCCTGACCAACAACCATAACCTTTCTTGCCTTTATTGTGGAGACTCAATTCAAATTTCTGATGGATATCTTGATCAATCAGCCCTCCTAACACTGTTATTTCATTCTCAGCCTGTTGTATTAAGGACATCAGAAGCTCAAAATGGCTTTGGAGAAGTCTGAGCTTCCATACAATGGAATATTTGTTGTGGCTCCAGACAGGGCCGCGGCCCCCACACCACCAATCACCCTGGAACCAAAACTTTCAGACCTAAAAAACTCAAGGCCATGAAAATGGGAAGCAAAGATTTTCCCCAGGAGTCGCTAGGGGTGATAGTGAGAGGAGCTATTCCCTTTTCTACCCCTTAGTGCGTGGACCAATGGACATGGGCTAAGGGGACAGCTGCCTCCTGCAGAATCCTGACCCAGTACTAGAGGCTGATGTTACTTCTTTAATCTTTCCTTGTGTCTTGAAATGTCCATTCCATCTTTCTGTTCTGACAGCTGCTTCATGAAGTTGAACATGGGAATATCAACTGATAACATCATAATTAAATGCAATAAGCATAGGCACAAACTCTCATATCAAGGCTGGGGGAGTCAACCAGAAGGAAGAAAAGGTTCCCAAGATCAGACAAACAGGTCAGAGACTCCCCACACTCCCACTCTTTAGGAATCCCACAAAAACCCCTGAAGTAAACAACCACAGTATGCATACAGAGGACATAGTGCTGACCCATACAGACAGTGTGATTGCCTCTTCAGTCCCTGTGAGCCCCTATGATGCCCTATGATCCCCGTTTATCTGATTCTGTGACCCCTGTTCTGGTATCTTTCATCCCTCCTACAATCCTGCATTCCCTGTTCCTTGAGGTTCCCTGAACTCTAAAGTTTGGCTGTGGATCTCAGTATTTGCTGCCGCCAGCTGCTGGAGAAAGCCTAACTGGTGACAGCTGGGCGAGGCACCAGTCTCTGAGTACAGCAATCTCATTAGGTCTCATTTCATTAACATGTGTTTATGTGACTGTGAGGACCCTGCACAAACTTCCTCAGCTGAGCAGAGCTGGGCTGCTTCTAACAGAAACACCACTGGAATCCACAAAATGATTCTACAATTTTTATTCCTTTTATATTGTATTATATTGGGGTAAAATTTTGTCTACATAACTGAAGAAGGGTCCTCTGCAAGGGGAACGATTGCTTTTGCCCACTGATTCATCTCTCCAGTCTGCACAAACTGAGTTTGGAGGGAAAATGTCTTTATTCTCAATCCCTTCTCTTGTAAGAAAACATTCACGTTTGTTTTCTCCTTTGCTCTGAGCCTTTGATCATATGTTCTGCACAGTTCAATCCAGACAGGTTTCTCCAAAGAAACCCTGTTGGGATGTGCTGGAGTATTAACTAAACTGAATCCCAGTTTCCAAATCCCTGGACAAAAATCAAACCAGTACGGCAATAGAGCAGACGTTGCATAGAGTCCATCAGAGTTCATCACTGTTCCTCCCCCACCCTGCCATTCTGTAGCAAGAAAAATAAAAATCCAGAGATAGATATTGGGGTTCAACCCAAAACCCAGAAAGGCAAAGCAGCCAAGACACTAGAGACATCTTTCCTCTATTAAGGCTGGGTGACTGTAGAATAGACAGACTAAGCCTCTCTCCTCCCATTTTACATTACCTCTAGTGCTGGGATTCCCTAGGCTAGGACTGAAGGTGTGAACCACCACCACCTGGACTTGTTACTACATTGATATTGTTTAGATTAAGGTGCCTTTAAACTCACAGAGATCCATGTGACTCTGTCTAACAAATCCTGGGATTAAAGGTGTGTGTCACCATTGCCTGACCTCTAGTGGCTTTTTAGCTTTACTTCTGGTATTCAGGCAAGACTTATCAAGATACAAATAATAAGCCAATACAATAATCAATTCATTAATAAATGTATTAAAACACTACTAACCGTGATGTGTTTCCCCAGAGTTGCTGTAAATACCCCATAGTCTACCCAGGAGTCATTGGTGGTATCAGTGACCACTGCTTCTGGGATACAAATGTAGGACACAGGTGACAGGGTCCTGGGATTGCTTCAGGCGTTTGGGAGGGGGCTCCGGTAGATTGCATTGAGCAGAAGCCAGGGAGCTGTATGCTTCAGCCACCAAGTGAGGGTATGAATCCACCATTGTCTTCCAGCTTGCAGTCTGAGAGACCTCGGAGGCATGAGCTGTAATAAAATTCAGCACCTGTGTTTTCAGGTGCCGTGTGCTGTGGAGGTCAGCTAGGAAGAGAGTGTGGGCAGCATTCTCTACAGTGAGGTCCCTGAAGAGGGCACTCTCACACATGACCTTCAAACGCTCCAGGCCATACTTGTCAGCAGCTGCCAGCACAGCATCTGCAATGCTGTGGAGGTCAGGTTCCTTCCCGGTGTAAATGAAGCCCATCATTGCCTTGAAGACTTCAGGTTCCAGGTCATGAATCTCAATGCGATTCTTTCTGCTCTCCTCCGTGTCATGTTCAAACATGGCTCTGAAAACTGGAGAGCGAGCAGCTAAGATGGCTTTGTGAGCCCGGAATTCCTGGCCCGCTACCACCAGGCAGCAGTCTGTGAAGCTGGAATTCTTCCACAGCTTTCCTAGATCATCTCCTAATGGGCCTTTGGGAACCTGGATTCTCTGCTCCGTGCTCTCGTCAGGGATACTGTAGGAGTACGGGACCAGGATCCCCATGCAGAGGAGGGTGAACTGGTCTTCAGGGAGAAGCCCATGAGAATGGTCCAAGAGGAAATCTCGAAGGATGAACATTTTGAAACCGCTTTGGTAGCCTGGCAGGAAACTACAGTCTTTTGGGGTAGTCACAGGTTCGTATCTTTCTCCTTTGGCGTTGATGATCCAAAACTTGAACCGTGCCGTAAGGGGACTCTTTGGAGACCTGAGCAACTCTAGGTTAACTGACAGGTAATCTGAGCTTTCTTCATCGACGCCCTTAGGGTGAACTCTCAAACACCATTTGTCATCGCCTCCTATTGAGAAATTTGGGCTTCTAATACTGTCCCTCATTTCCTCCAGAATAAAACGGAAGTTGCGGATGGTCCACCTGCAGTAGAAATTCTGGATGTTGAACACTTTATAGGCCCAGCTCTGGTTAATGGTGTCCTGTGACATTTCTCCTGGAGGTAGTTTGAAGGTTAAACTGGATCCAAAATGAAAAACTAGGATTTGTCTTCTCTTGCCCTGTAGGATACAATAATAGGCATGATAGATATTTTTAGCTTCTGTTCTCCTCTGTTCCCTCTTCTATGAGGCTGGAAACTTGAGTCTCTGAAATTATCCAGATTTCAATTCTAGATTCAGTTTTCAGACTCGGCTACAAGGGACTGTTCTATCACTTCATTTTTTTCTTTCTGGATTGAATCTTAGGTCAATGGATTTCTAATTTTGAGAATCATACACAACTTTTGAAAACTTGCAACATTTTATATACTCATCCAAAATTTTGCACAGTGGTTCTCTAGAGTAACAGAACATACCCAAGGACGCTCTCTGTGTGAACCAAGGAGATTCATTAGTATGACTTAGGGCTGCAGTCCTGCTAATCCCACAAAGGCTACCTGTGAAGGGAAAGTCCAAGACTCCAGTACTTACTCAGTCCAAGAGGTTAGACGTGTTGGCTGGTCTTTAATCTATGCTGGAATTATGATGAAGAATTCTCCAGTGCCAGTGAGGGAATGGTCTTGCTGCAAGGTGAGGGCAAGCAGGCAATGAGCAACAGCTTCCTCCATGTTTTTTATAGGCTCCCAGGAGGCAGAAGGCGTGGCCCAGCTAAAGGTGTGTCCTTCAGACTCTAGATATGGTAAAGGTGTGTTTCTTCAGGCCTTGGGATAAATGTTTGTGGTTTTCTGCCTCCAAAGTGTGTCTGTGAAGTGCTGTACCTACTTCAACTTAAGCAAACACATTTCTCACAGTCGTGCCCTCTGTTTTAGGATTTTAGTTAATTCCAGGTGTAGTCAAGTCGTGAATCAAGAACAACAATCTCAAGAGAATTTTGCTTACTGTGGTCAATCTTCCATGAATAAGGGAATGGTGTCCATTCCTACACAACTGTTATTATTCTTCTCATGTTGTTATAAGAATTCCTCCCATGTACACAATCTGGGAAGAGATGCTTTTCTTACCTTGTCAGTGTTCACAACATGGAGGTCAGGGTGGAAGTATTCATATAAGGAGGCAGGAGTAGAGTCAGACAGGATTCTCTGAAAGTGGCTGTCTTCCTTCCTGCTTTTTATTCAATTCAGACTCACAGTCCCTGGGGTGGCTCCACTAAATGTATTGGTGGCCTTTTTGGTCCTCCCCAGTTAATCCTCCTTATACTCTCTTCCTGATCCACTTAAGGGTGTGCTATGAGAAAAGCCTAATTACTTCTCATTTCCATCAATCAGACTGCTGAGATTCAGTGTCTCATTACCTCATAATTTTCCTCCTCAGTGGTGAGTTCTGTTCTTTAAACTTTGAACTTCCGTGCTTACCATGCTGGACCTTAAATGGGAGAGAGTATTCTGGCTTCTAAAGGGTACAGAATATTTTCAACAGTTACTGAAGAAGGGATTTTGAGATGCTTCCCCTTCCCCTTAGATTGTGATCTGTAAAATGCTCCCCACATCTATCATCTTTCTCCAGATCATTATGTCTGTAGGGACACACAAAGTCTAGAGGACAGGAAAATAACTTCAGTGATTCAATCCTCTCAGCAATTCCCAGCCCAGGTCTCCTGAAAGTCTGTCTCCAATGCTACTCATCCCTCAAGACAGGATAAATCAATCAATGGGTTTTGATCTCCTAATTTTTGTTCCTCAGTTAGGAATCTGTTACAGGTGGGTAACTAATAACATCAGTGCCTCTTTTCTATGTGGGTTTAGGATCACGGTGGCAGGTACCACTTCCCTCCAATGTGTCAATTGAGTGAAGGTAGGCAGTCAATGCAGGACCCTCATTTGTGAAAGAAATTCTTTACATTGACAGCCTGGGTTTCCCAGGAGCATGCTCCTGGAGAGAAGAGCAGATTTTCGTATGGGAACTTAGAGTTCCCTGTGGTTCAAGTACAGGATTTGTTCATATAGAGAATCATTCTCAAACTCTACTACAGAGCTACAGTATTAAAAACAGCCTGGTATTGCCATAAGAACAGACAGGAGGGCCAATAGAACTGAGTAGAAGACCTGAATATCAATCCACACATCTTCGAATACCTGATTTTTGACAAAGAGGCAAAAAATATCAAATGGAAAAAAGAAAGCATGTTTAACAAGTGGTGCTGGCATAACTGGATATCAACATGTAGAAGAATGAAAATAGACCCATATCTAGCACCATGCAAAAAAACCTCAAGTCCAAGTGGACCAAAGACCTCAACATAAAGCCAGCCACACTGAACCTTATAGAAGAGAAAGTGGGAAGTACACTTGAATACATTGACACGGGGAACCACTTCCTAAATATAACCCCAGAGGCACAGACACTGAGAGAAACAATTAATAAATGGGACCTCCTGAAACTGAAAAGCTTCTGTAAAGCAAAAGACATGGTCAACAAGACAAAACCACAGCCTACAGAATGGGAAAAGATCTTCATTAACCTCACACCAGACAGAGGTCTGATCTCCAAAATATCCAAAGAACTCAAAAAATTGGACACCAAAATATCACATAATCCAATAAGAAAATGGTTTATAGACCTAAACAGAGAACTCTCAACAGAGGAATCTAAAATGGCTGAAAGACACTTAAGGAAATGTTCAACATCCTTAATCATCAGAGAAATGCAAATCAAACCAACTCTGAGATTCCATCTTACACCTGTAAGAATGGCCAAGATCAAAAACACTGATGACAACTTATGCCGAAAAGGCAACACTTCTGCCTTGCTGGTGGGAATGCAAGCTGGATGTCAGTGTGACAATTTCTCAGAAAATTAGGAAACAACTTTCCTCAAGACCCAATAATACCACTTTTGAGTATATATCCAAAGGATGTTCAATCGTGCCACAAGGACATGTGCTCAGCTATGTTCATAGCAGCTTTGTTTGTCATAGCCAGAACCTGGAAACAACCTAAATGCCCCTCAACCAAAGAATGGATAAGGAAAATGTGGTACACTTACACAATGAAGTACTACACAGCAGAAAAAAATAATGACATCTTGAATTTTGCAGGAAAACAGATGGAGCTAGAAAACATTATTTTGAGTGAGGTAACCCAGACCCAGAAAGACAGCTATCACATATACTCACTCATAGGTGGTTTTTAAACATAAAGCAAAAAAATTCAGCCTACAAACCACAATCCCAGAGAATTTAGAGAACTATGAGGACACTAAGAGAGACTTACATAGATCTAATCTATATGGGAAGTAGAAAGTAGAAAAGACAAGATCTTCTGAGTAAATTGGGAGCATGGGGACCTTGGTGGAGGTCTGAAGAGGGAAGGAGAGAGGCAGGGAGGGGAGCAGAGAGAAATGTAGAGCTAAATAAAAATCAGTTAAAAAAATCAAAAAAAGAAAGAATGCCTCTGCTTGCTTCTACCAAACAGAGCCCCCTGGACAAAATATTGCTATCAAAAAGCCATGCTTAACTCTGTTCTTTTGTGTCTAGGATTCCTTTCCAAGCTTTCCCAGGCTTTCTGTAGATGAGTCAGCTCTACATTTGCCCGTCAGTCTCTTAGGAGAGGCTGCTCATTTGTTCCTGGCTGCTTAGAGCTGAAATAATCACTCTGAAACTGTATAGCTTAAGAATATTTCTAGCTTGATCTTATATCCTAAATTACCTCATTTCCATTAATCTGTATATCTCCACATGGCTGTGGTTTACTGGGTAAAGTGCCATCTAGCATCTGTCTCTGGCAGGGCTACATGACTTTTCACCTACTCTGCTCTCTCTCTCTCTCTCTCTCTCTCTCTCTCTCTCTCTCTTTCTCTCTCTCTCTCTCTCTCTCTCTCTCTGACTTTACTCTGTTAAGCCATTGGCTGAGAGCAGCTTCTTTATTAACCAATGGTAATAAAACTTATTCACAGCATATATCACCTCCCACATCAGATCTCTAAAATTATCTATCCAGATTCCAAAGTATTTTCAGTGTAGATAGTCTAGGCTACCATGGGCTGTTCTATCACTTCATTTTTTTAAAGATTGAGTCTTAGGTCAGTAGATATGTTACTTTGCCAGTTATTCTCACCTTTTGATCATATGAGACATTTTATATACTCATTTCAAAATTTTTTTTATCTGGGTTCTCCATAGTAACAGAACATATCCAATGACTCTCTCTCTCTCTCTCTCTCTCTCTCTCTCTCTCTCTCTCTCTCTCTCTGTCTCTGTCTCTCTCTCTGTGTATGAACAAAGGAGATTCATTAGAATGACTTAGGGCTGCAGTCCTGCTAGTCCTACAATGACTATCTCTGAAGGAAAAGTACAAATATTCAATTCTTACTTAGTCTAGGAGGTTAGACATGTTGGCTCATCTTCAGTATATGCTGGAGTTCTGAAGAATTTTCTAATGGCAGTGAAGTAATAGACTTGCTTCAAAGTGAGGGCAATCAGGCAAAGAGCAATATTTTCATTCTTCTGTGTCCTTTTATAGGCTTCCAGAAGGCAGGAGATGTTGGCCAATTAAAGATGTGGCTAGCAACCTCAAGATATGAATTAAAGGTACATGTCTTCAGGCCTGGAGATCTGGATTAAATGTTTGTCTTTCTAACATCTGTATTTGAAGTGATCTACACACTTAATGAAAGCATTTCTCACAATTATGCCCTCTATTTTAGGATTTTAGTCAATTTCAGGTGTAGTAATGTGGGAAGCAAGAATATTCATCACAGGTGCATTTTGCTTACGGGGGTTAATCTTCCATAAGTAAAGGGATGGTGTCCATTCCTACACAGCTGTTATTACTTTTGCCATGTTGTTATTAGAAGTTCCTTATAATATGATCTGGGAAGAGGTGCTTTTTTTGAACCCTGTCAGGTGCCTCAGTGTTCACAACATGGAGGTCAGGGCGGTAGATCATCTATGGCAGCTGGGACCAGAGGCAGTCAGGATCCTCTGAAAGTGGTTGTCTTCTGGCTTTTATTCCATCCAGACTCACAGTCCCCGGTATGCCTCCACCAATATTACT